TTCTTTTTGGTAACTGAAATTAATAACAGTATCTCGTAACGACTCCGATTACCTCGATCACCGTCTGCGCAGCGTTCACTCGCGCGCGTAATAGCTCGTAATTTTCCGACAATTATTCTCAAATTAAAAATGCAAAATACATGGTCTCTCGAATCGAACGTAACGCGTGAAACGTAGTATTTATTTCAACGAAATTAAACGTATTCGCAGTTCACAAAAACCGGGTCTGTACATAGAAATAAATTCGTAGATATATTTTTAAGTTTGTTCAATGATATCAGAATGAAACGAGGTCGAACTTAGCAATGATTTTTATTCTTATTTTTCTTTTCGATGGGGGGATCCATCGTGCGTTGCTGGAAATATATTTTGTGTCTTATTTGTACAAAAATATTTTTAAATTTTTATCACAGAATTTCTCTCTTTCTTTTTTGTTGAGGGAGAGGGGGGCTGAAAATGGATTAAAATAGTTTGTAAACCACTTTCTAATTTAATTTGTAAGTGTTTGATTTACAAATATATTTAAATTTTTAGCACAGAAATGCTCTGTTTATTTTTGAAGGGATGGGTGGATTTAAAACAGTTTGCAAAGCACTGGTGTATGGGATCTTGGATTCGTTGGCGATTTCGAGTTTCGCACGATTATCGATGCACACGCTGCGAGGTGAACCCGTAGCAATTCACGAGGCTCTCGTTGTAGGTGAGAGGATGTGGCCAGCAGGAAGTTCATTGTGTACGGTTACACATATAATATTGCACGGCGTGCAATCCTGCGGATTCTACGTAGTTTCGTGCGGCACGAGAACAGAATTCTCGCAAAGTTCGCCGACAGATTCGAATCCTTATAGGTACGAGTTACGCTCGGTCGCGTAGAATGAAATCGTATGTAGGTTAATGCGTGGGAGGGGATCCATTACACGCGCCGTTTAAGTAATTATTTTCCAATTAAAGCGAAAAACTCAACGGCGTCGACGGAATTGAGGAATTTCAGCCTCCAACTCTGGGAAGCGCGTAGCTGCAGTCAAAGTCTCCCGATTGGTCCGCTCGTGGCGATATATCAAATGTTTTCGTTCATATCAAAGGTGGGTCACTGTCTCAAAGGTGGAAAAAATTCTTATCTGGAGGAAAATTTCGAAAAGCAAATTAAACGTACACAACGTTTTATCTGTAACACGTTGCATAAATCTTAGAATTTTCAATGCAAAATGATATTATCCACAATAAACATACGAAGTATTATCTGAATAACTTCGATCTCATAAACATCGCAAGAGACTTGCAGCATGTTGATTTTAGTTATCATATATTATTTTAATAAAAGAAAGCTAATTCGAAAATAAAGATAAAATAATAAATGTTTTTCATAAGGAGTTTCACAACCGCTAATTTTTGTCACTAAGATTTCTATAAACCAATACGTACTTTGTTCGCGTTGAGTCGACCATATTGCTTTAGAAGCGAGAACTAGGAAGTATTCTTATAATAAAGAAGGTTTTATTACATGAACAATTATTATTCTGCATCTTACAGGTGTTCATGATGAGATTGCAATAAAAGAAGTTTATTTCACGGGATTCTTCCCTTGTAATGCAAAACAACACTCATAATGAGTTTACACATTAAAAGCAGTTGAATTAACTTTGCCCTCTTGTATCTCATAAGAGGCTCATATAAGTCTATATAGTTTACCAAATTCAATAATATAGAGGTCGTAAAATTGCATCATGCATGAAAAATTATGGGGAAGCCGGGTTACGCGTTTTTATAGCTTCATATTGATAAGGAACTTTGTATCGAGGTTAGATTTAGAAACAGTTTTTAGCTGCACCCCGCCTCTTTTCCACGCTACATCGAATTTCATTTGTGTATCCGTATGTACGTTTGTATGTTTTTTTCGCTGTGCAATAAAAATGATAAATAAAACGAAAACAGATAAGCAAATATTAATAACAATGGACGGGAGGAAACATAAACACGTCGAAATGTTTCGAATGCTCGTTCCAAACAACGCGAGCAAACGAAATTAAAATACATTTTCCATGTATTTTTACTTGTGTATTTAATAAAAGGTTAGAATGCTTTATGTATCTTTAATCAACGAGTGCAACCACTGGATTTAGAGATTGTATAATGTTTACATTTTGCCGACGATCAATTTCTCAAGATGTTTTTAAACATTGATCAAAGTAGTCGAGATATGATGCAAGTGACATTCTTTTATTTTACTTTCTTCGCCTTTGGAATACGCGATATACTGCAATCATTTTTTTATTTAAACAAAAACATGGACGTTGTAGCTTACATGTAAAATCTAGCAAACTTTAATACGTGTTTTTTGTCCTTGTGAAACATTCTATGGGGGTACCTAACTTAAGATTTTTGCAGAATTTTACATCAAATTCTCACAGATGTTTTCTTTTTGTAAAATTTTTATAAGATTGCGTATACGTAATTTTTCTGTAATACTGTCTTTTATCCGTTGAATTTGCTATATTCTAAGCTCTTTATAGTCATAAGTTTATCGTTGAATTGTAATTTATTTCAAAGAAGAAAAAGGCCCCGCAAAGTGATCAGCTTGTCCCGATAAATCTAGATCCGCCACTGGTTCTAGTACAATTTATTTCTCGCGAGGTCGATAGAAAATGGTGCCGGGTGCCTCGGTTGAACCCGCGAGGCTGTTTTAAATGTCAACCGGCGGTGCATTTACCTCTCGGATGCCAACTAAATCCGAGTCGGATCTCCTCTCGCCGCGGTACGATAAATCATCGCCAGTGTCAAAATCGTGAGGCAGTTCGAAACGTAGTTTAGAAAGCTCACGATCGCGATTATGCAAGCATAGTAAGGTCATCCTAGGCATCACCTCGAGATACGATAAGGGGCTTAGCTAGTACTCGTGTTTAGTAAATAACATGGGCGCCGTTTGTACGTTGTAAACACAAATTCTTTTCCCGACGACTTTTATAAATTATCTCGCGTTTTTTCCGCGTCCGATTCTTTCCCCGATCGATGCCTCTTATCTTCCACGATATTTCGTCGATCCTCGGCTTTCGAAATCCCTGGCAAACGCGAGGAAAGAACTCGTGATTAAAGGGAAAACGTTCGAAGGGAAGATAAGAGGGCGAGAAGTTGATTTCTCGGGACTGCGTTTTCTTTTATCTGCTCCCCCTTCGAAATAATTGAAATTCATCGGTCCGAGGAGAACCTAACGACGATAATAGCGTGTAGAAATTAAAATAACCTACTTTTTTTTTTTGTCAGAACTCGAAGAATTCTATTAACTGGACATACGGGACTTGTACCAACGGCTGATTCTCTGGTGCGTGCGACCAAACGCGACGTAAAAAGCTCGTAATCAGAGCCATCGGCAATTGGCGCGAACGAAATTGCTACCAATTATCAATTTGACTCTCCACGAAAGTATCGGTTTAATCATTTCTTCAGACCGCCTTTTATTCCGTTCATCTCTCCTGATGCATCCTTTCAATCGTCTCGTTCGCTCTGTGGGAGTCGAAGGAACAGCAAAAAACATATGCAACGATACCGCTGGCTCTTAATTATTTTCTAAATAGAAAACTAAGGAGAATCGCCAGTCTCAACCATCGTTAAACTAGATGATAGTCTATAACCACTGTGTCGCTCAGAGTCAACGGAAGCAACGTCTCAAAATTTAGCGACCACCTGGCGAGAGCGATCGATGTTTCAGCGAAAAGAAAAAGTAGAAAAAAACCGACCAGAAACTCCTGTATCCGTTACGACCCGTCTTCCATCCTCGAGACCATGCTTATAGACTGCGATGATGCGCCGTCGTGTAGTTAAGTTAATTAATGAATGGTACAGTCGGGATGGAGAGTGGACTTAAATTGATACGTCCTTCGCGCGGAGCCATTTTTGTGCCACGCTCGCGTTGCTCCGAGTACTCGCGGTTCCGAGGGAATTGATGGCTTCTTTTTTCGCGTACAATTACATAATCCTCGCGAGGGATCATCGATGGACCCGATCGACGAGATCGTGCGCGAAATTCGGAACGGTGCGCGTCGCGACGACGATTGACGCGCGCAAATTAAAACGACAAACGAAACCGATCGACACCTCCCGCGAAAAAAAGGCTATCGAACGGCCGTGAGGCGCGATTTCTGATTCGTTTCGAGTTCCGTTGACCCATTCGCGCAAAGAATCGCCGCGATAAAGAAATTTTCCCGGCGATTGCGATTATTTATTGCCCGTAAGCAAAGTTCGCCGCGCGACAACCGGGAAAACACGACCGGAAAAAAGTGGCGCAAATTTCACGGGCGATTTAGCGACCGGCTCGCGTCGCACGGCCATTTTTATTAAATTCCCGGCTAAACGGACGCGCAATAATCTCCGGCGACTTTTATCTATCATCACTTTCATAACAAGAGCGTGCAATAATACAAAGTGTAATCGCGGGGACCGATAAAGGTCACGAAAACGTTCTATATAAAAAAATGTTTCAGAGTTCTGCCCGCAATAATCGGTAAGAGATTGAAGCACGGTCTTATCGGGGGACCAATTACAATAAATAACCTGTCACCTTGTCAAACTAAATCGGCACGAGGACGCTCGCGTTGGCCACGCAACAGGTACCTTGTTCCCAGCGAATCGCGAACGTGATTCGTTGCTGGAAACTTGGTAAACGGAAAGACAAAACTACTGTTTTACAAATACCTTTGACTAATGTATGTATATGTAACTAGAGAATGTCCAAGAATTATGTCAAATATTTCTCTGTACTATAAATTTTTGCACAATTGCTGTTGAGGGTTAACAAGTGATTCATCCTGTTCGCATTCTTGGTAAAAGAGTTTGCATCTCTAATGGATATGTTCTACGCTGTCATAGTCAGTAACGATGACCATATAGTAAAAATGGAATAAATATGAAACATAATTTGTTTACAAGATCCTCATCACGCTCAATGTTGACGTATTGAAAAGAAGAGACGGTGAAGAATAATAGATGGTTTTTGATGATGAAAATACCTGATTCAAGTCGAGATCGGGGCACTTCGAGGCGCATTCTTCTTGCAAATTGGCAGGAGCAGCGCGATCCTCGAAGTCTTCCGGCAGAAGCGCCGCGACGCTTCCCGCCAACGCCAGCACCTTCAGGAACACACATAATCCCGTTGCTAACATAATATTCAAAACCCCCCTGAAGCCAACCCTTGATCACCCTCCGTGATATTTTTGCGAGAAACGTTCAACTGTCGGTCGTCATTGTTCTCTCGATCCCGACAACCTCCGCGACTCTGGAAGAGGATTCCGATCACGGATTAGATCTCTTTTTTCCACATTCCTGCACATCGATCCTCGACTTTTCTTTGTACTGTTCTTCGAACAGGAACGTCTAGCACAGCCACTAGAATCGCACACTAAACGATCACATCAAGAGTCAGACAAGTAGATTGCCTTCTTCCGTCGAGGATCACACGGCGACGCTTCTTGAAGAATATACGAGGCGGTCCAGACTTCCTGCAGAAGACAACGTGAAAATATTTTCCATCGAAATGAGCTCGTCTTGACTGCCTTTGCAAGGATATCCAAGTTTCCCGACTCTGATCGAGGGACAACTAAAAATTAAATGTACACCAACGTTCGGTGCCTCGCACGATTGTCACTGAAATAATCCACGAATGTCAATGCAGGCGAGATCGAAACAATTCGATTTCACAGAGGACGTTCACTGGCGTGTTTTAATTCGACGCGGACGGGAGCAATAAAAATTGAAACTGTTTCGAATCACCTGTGACGTTCGAGTCACGAGGCAGCGCGCAGTAAGAGCCCGGCGTGTATGTTGTTAATGTGTGGCGAGCATAAGAGCAACTGACTCCGAATAGCCACTAGAGTCAACTATCCCCCACCATCGGCACCCTTATCTGTTGCACTCCGCTTGACCAATTCCCTACGGTGGTGGTAGGTACTCCGCTCGAGCGTGCACGTGAGCCCCAGACGTGCTCGTGGACGTCCAAAGACGAACAGAAGGGAGGAACGATCAGAACCTTCTGGTCGTGCAGGTCCGACCAATGGTCAATTGGCAGATTGACCTGTTCTTACTATCCTCGTAAACTTTCATTCATACATTCGCACGTGCCGTTTCAACCGACCGTCCACGTTGCCGGTGTCGTTCAAACGGAGATACACGATATACTTTTCCAATACTTTAACTAACGCGATATCAGTTCTTGTAAAATTTATAAAATTTAAGTAATATTATTTGAACAAACGTCGAGAACACCTCCAAACATGGTAAACTGGCAGTGCAACGTGTTAAATAAAATTAAATAGTGTACATTTGAAAAGTTGCAGAGGGATTGAATTATCGAGTAAATATTTCAATGGAAAATGAAGTAAAAAATACCCTCGAGTTGAGCAAGTTCGACATGAGTTGAGTATTTATTACTTGTAGAATTTAATTTTTAGTAATATTTTTACACCAGTAAAACCTAAAAAATAGGATAATTTTTAGTAAAAAATTCTCTTCGTGTACAGTCCCTGATCATCGAATAAGGATTACTCGAAACTTTCGATATTTTTCATGAAGCCTGATACCAAAATTTGGTATTTATTTAAAATGGGGTAAGCCTCATCAATCTTAAGGACTTGAAAATATATTGGCAAGACATACAGTACAACCATCACTAGCTTTTATCTTTTAAATATACGTTAAAGTATTTTATTAAGGTTTGACTTTAGGTTTTGAATCACTTTTAAATTGATTTTAGGTTTAGAAATAAATAAGCACATTAAGGTTGAACATGACACTTTAATAACAAGCATAATAACATTTCATCTGTGCTGTTGCATATGAAAGAAACTCGAAATTTTGTCCAATATTTAAGAACAAATAAATAAATATATACACAACATGAAATATTAATTCACAATTTGAAATGTGTTTTACACTAGAGATGATAAGTCAATAAATATAATTCCAATTATTAAAATGAACGTACATATTGTAATTCTTTAAACCAATTACATTTATTCAACTCCGAGCAACTTAAAGTCACGAAGAAGACATTTTTTATCCAAAGAAAATGTTTAAAACATAGGAGGATACACCGAAAGCTCTTCGAAACGATTTTTCGAGTCTCCCTGTAAAACACAAACAAATAAATGTCGGAACGTCGAATTGAATTTAAATTACGTGCCGGCTGGAGATCACTTCGTTAAGTCAACTACCCTCTTCTCTTGCGTTAGGTCGAGCCGCATATTACAGTCGGATAGCACAAAGCAAATCCAAAGCCGAGCTTCGAACAAATACTTCCTATATTGACATTTCAGGGAAGAATGCATCGTCTCTAAAAATTTCTGTACACACGCATCATTTTGACACCCTCGAGAAAGAACGTTGTTCTATTGACAGTGTGCTTAAAAAGGATGGCAATGTCAACGGAGGACCAGTTCGTACTCCTCCGGGAAGAGAACCAGAATTTTCGCTCTCTGGTTTCAGGGTGTTTAAAAAAATATTACATACAGTCAATTTTACCCATAACACAATACTTATCATTACATTTCTTACATTTCTAAAACAATGTCGTGTTATATGTGACTAAGTAATACTAAGTACAAGAAGTAAAAATAAAACTATTATTTTGTTTTGGTAACTACTGTGGGCATATCTATTATAAACATTTATTAAAAGAAACAAACCACGCCGTCGGTTTTATGGCAAAACGTTGGAAGAAAAATAAGTCACTTTCAAATTAATTGCACGAATTTCACGAACAGTTTGTAAGAACTCATGTTTACTTTATTATCCGCGATGAATACTACAATTGATCGAGTATCGTCAACTTCGCGTGGCGCGACCTGATAGTTTCTGGACGCGTCCGATTCATAAAAACACAATTGTGCGTTTAATACTATTCCTCAGCCCTTTCTAACCGTGATCGAGTCGAAACGGTGACTCATTTCGACAGATTAAATCTGCGAACGAGACAAGAGCCAGTCGGTATTATTTGTGGTACCATTGTCAGTCGTGGAGCCACGCATCGGCTCTTTCTTCCCGATGACCCGATAGAAGTCCATTCTTCGACTCCGCGCATATCTATCGGATCAATGGGGACATCGGTTTACCTTCGTATGCGTTATTGTCGCGAGTTTCGACTTGTAAACATTTTCTTGTCATTCTCCGTGCTGGAGAACTTGCCCCGATATAGACATCGAGCGTTTTGAAAATGAAATTTCATTTGCCGAGTGCATCCTTTTGACGCCAGCGTGAAATACCACAGCCACGACATGACCTTATCTTTATCTATCCTTTTCCGCATTTCTTGTCTTCACCAGTCCCAGAAGCTGCTGGAATTCTTTCCTTAGGTACGTCACGCATGTAGCACAGAGTACCACCACCCAGTATCGCGGTTTAGAAGAATTTCTGCCATTCTCTTCAAACCTAACGACGTATCTATCTCTCGCAATTCTTTTTTTTAAATATTATCAACTTTTATTATTCTCCTTTTCTTCATCTTCTCTGTTTTATTTCTTGAATTAACCACTTTTGTGTGTTTGTAGAGCACGCCATTTTGGTATCGTTACAAATTTCTACATTATTTTTATCGTTCATTAGTATACTGGCACAGATCATTGAGCATTTTATTTTGGCAGAAAAAGAAATGAAAATTAAATTCGCCTGATTCAATATTAATTAATCAGTAGATATATAAGTAACTAACAATCAACATTTGTTAAACATTAGTGACGAAATACTTAACGAGGGAAAGAGCCCTCCATTTTGGAGAACACTACAATAGAGCGTTAACTGTATCTTGCTCTGGTCCCCAATATTGGTCCCAAGTCTGTGACTACCTAAGACCCAATACTCTGGCAAGTACCTTGGTTGAGACTCGTCCGTTGTTTGCATTCTAATTAAAAATCATTGTTACGTTACTACCATCGATCGTCGAGCATTCTTGTCAGCAGATTGCAGACGAGGAGCTAGTTTGGGGTTCGACGTTGAAAAGCGAAGATCAATCGATTAAAGCGTGGAGATTATAGGCAAGCGAATTCAGAACGGGTTGTTATGAAACGACAGCGATCTGTGGCACGTTAGCTCCAACCTCAATGGCGGTTACAGGTTACCTAGGGCTTCCTGCGGAAATGGCCAATATACTCCTCCGACCTCCAACTCACTCAGTCACTCGCTCACTCGGATCACTCCTGTTTGGTGTACCTCGTACCCATATGATCGCCCTGTCGCTCGACACGTACTCGTTACGGGTCATCATCGTGATCTATGCGCCTACAACAAACGTTACATCCTTAATCTGTCCTAGCCAGCTAATTCTACGCTCGTGCTGAACGAGAAAGTTGACATTATTCCGCAGCTGGACGCGGAGCGGGCCTACTCCGCGGCGCGATTAGAGCGAGTTTAGTTTTACGAGGTGTAAACAGTGGCTCAGTGATTTTTAAGTCAACAAATAAACTGAATACTGATCTATCATATAACGATCGATTAATAAATATTAGGAGATTGGCGTTAATCGAAACAAGCAAGATATTTGTATTAAAAAATATCTAATAACGCAGAATATCTCGCAATCGATTATAGAATCCACAAGGTGGAAATTTTGTATTAAAAAATAGATCGAAAACATATTAAGATCAACTTCTAGATATCTCTTATATTTCTACATAATGTTTAGAAGTAATAGTTCATAATCGAAAATACTATTTAAAGTTGCGTTAAATAAACAAATAATTAAGTAAGAATTTATTTATCCTTTGCTTAACGACAGTAATAAATAGCAAAAAATTCCTCTTCCTGTTTGTGTATTTTTTTAATGTATACAACTGGTGCGTCTCGAACAATCAAACTTTCCTTGTTTGTTTCGATATCGTAAAGTTTGTTAACAAACTGTGTCGTAATTCGCGCGACACGCCTATTAATGAAACGAAAGCGAGGAGACAAGATAGTGATCTGAAAGCAGCGATTATTACTTTGTTACAGTGAGGCCAGATTTATTGGTAAATTAATTAGGAAGACGATGTTTCATAATGAATACCAAACGACCCAATTCACACGTGCTCGTGGTTCGTCGTTTGTTTTGCATACAACGTAATCGTCGCACAAAGGAGGACCTTTTGTGTAAGACGTCTAGACAGATAGTCCAGGTCTTACCCTGCTTTACACGATACACCAACAATTCGGCTCTATTAGGCCAATAAAGTGTATCAAAGAGGAGGAATGCGCCCCGCGTCAATCGTAAATGTAATGTCGGTTTGTCCGTCCGTGCACGGTGCTTGGATATGCGGGGTGCGGGTGGATAGCTAATTTAGATTGAACACACCATACGTTAAACGAGGGGACGAGAAAACGATTAGGAAAAGAACGAAAATTTGAAATTTCATAGTTTATTCTCTTGTAAAATTGGTAGAAATATATATACCAGTAAATAAAGAAGGTTTTCGACTGTTTTTGTTATTGCAAAACGTAGTACAAGATTTAACAATGTTATTGTTACCTTATGAATTCATGAACGACTGACCTAAGGTAAATATGACTACGCGTTCTGGTTGAGGACCAAAATTATATAAATTAGTTAAAACTACTCAAAAAGTAACGAGGATCAGCTACACAACTAATTTTTATACATTTTTCGAATAATTGTAAATAATGTATATCATTTTTGGTGCTCATATTCCGGCCACAACGTGCACCTACATTTTACCTTAGGTCAGCCATTTTTTAATTTCTATGGTAACGATAACATTGTAAGATCTTGTATTGGGCGATACAATTAAGAACGAAGCGATTCTACATATAAAAATTGATCGAAAATGTCGAATAAAATTTTGTTATTTGGGGCTTTTCTCCAGCAACGCAATTAATTTGTAGATCCCATCATTCACAGATCTATACAAATCCCACTGTGTTTATACGCGGCACGTATGTAGTACAAAGGTAATTATCAAACACAGAAATCTAGTTATAAATTATTACTTCTCTACATTGCATGCAAACGTCATGTGTTAACAATAAATGATGCAACGAAAGAATTCTCGAAAACGATTCGTGTCATAGTGACCTTTGTAATAATTATACGATTGGATATCTATATGATTCTGTTTCGCGTTGCCAACTTGTGCATTGCCTTGCACGCTAAAGAAACATTTAAGATTAAAACAATAATTAACAATTAATAAAACGTGTAAGTGTCAGAAGCACAAAGTTCAGTTTCACCAATCCGTATAGTTTTTAATACTTACCGAAGATAATTATTATCTTTGTTGGAAATTAATTACAATCCGATTGTTTCTAACATTACATCGTAAATAACACCTATACTAGTAAATAAACATTTACTAGTCAGTTTAATACTTACCTAGTTACAGCTCATTCTTTCTCGTTATAAACTGATACTAATGACCATAAATGTATCATAGCTTGTTGTAATAGATTTTTCAAACTATGGAAATGTGGAGGAATATCGACAAGCATACTCTCTTGATACGTTTTTAATTCGTTCAATATGTAGTTGAATTTATTATTGTTATTATATGCCATTTATTTTTTTATTCACATAACTCTGTTCTTGACAAAGTGTACTATTCAATATTTTTTCTTTGTGTTTTTTGAGGATGAACATCATGATTAATTCGCTGCTAAGCCTACATACATATATTATATGAAACTATTCCCATTGCCATTTATATTTTGAGTGGTATTGTTTACCAAAGTTATTTCTTATTCCCCAGGAACAAAATTCCCTTCATTATCTTGATGCTATTCCTCCTACACCAAAAAATAAAAACCCAACTCGCAAATGTAGAGTTTCTGTCCTGATAAACCTCCATTATGTATTGGGCTTTGTTACAAATCCTATCATAAATATAATTAATAATATGTGATTATGTTGCTATCAAATTTTGTTATAGATACACGATGAAGTTGATTTTTGTTTAATTTAAATCTGTAAAAGATCATTCTCTTTAAATAATAATTGATGTATAATTTTTGTAATAAATTTTATTTGTAGTATTTTTTTCAAGTTCTTTACATTTATATATTTATGTTAGTGAGCATAAAAAATGTACTGATTCAAAAGCCTGTATATTATAATATATTGAAAGTAGGACGAGTATACTCGTCCTTGGCAGCGAATGGGTTAAAGAAGCATAAAGTAAACAACACATAGATGGAACTCTATAATACCACAGCTTGCTACCAGAGAACGCTATCTCATGGTCTATAACACTTGATATAATATATATTTAAATACACGTTTTATAAAACTATATTTAACTTTTGTTTCGAAACAAGCTTCTGTTTTGAATCGGTATATCATACAATTATATACATTAAAGGTGAATTAAAATTTTCTACATTTGAAATAACGATCATGGAAACTGGACTTTTGTCGTGAGACTGAGAAACTGTATTTCATAGTAACTCAAAATGGAAGACGGTGACAATAAAGCGAACGCTGGGCTGGTTAAAGAGAAAAAGTCGTACGCCGGCATACCGGAGGCCGATTTTGTAGTAAGTACATTATTACAATAAAAATTTATGCAACATACTGATAGAGAATTATCATTTGTTCAAAAATTCCATGTGTTTATATTATATTTCATTGCGAAGAATGCTTTTACATGGAAGTAATGCTCATGGCTTCCAGTACAAATTTCTATACTAAAAAAGAACCGTTGTTTCTTTTTTCGATTACAATTAATATTTTATAAAAAGGATCATTTGTGTTTGATTGCTTGTAACATATCGGAATACATTAAATGTACTTTTCCGCGATGCGGACCTTATATGGTCATAAAATAAAAGAGACATCATGGTATTTGAATTTATTATAAAGTATTTTGAACATAGGATGATGTCGATGCGTTTATGGCCAAACCCGAAAATGAATATGCAGACAAAGTTATACAAATGCTGGATGAAAACCATGGCAAATACAAATTCATGGAATATAACTTGGTTAATAAAAGGAGACGGCTGAAAGCACAGATTCCAGATTTGGAGAGATCATTGGAAATGATTAAAAAGTTACAATCAGAGAAGGACAACAGTAAAGATTTAGAAACTCAATTTCTTTTGTCTGAACAAGTGTATGCAAAAGCTGTTATTTCACCTACCGACAAAGTATGCTTATGGTTAGGAGCAAATGTTATGCTGGAATATACTTTAGACGATGCACAAGAAATGTTAACAAAAAATATTGAAGCGGCAAAAAGAAATTTAGGTTATATCGAACACGATTTAGACTTTGTTAGAGACCAATTTACGACGATAGAAGTAAATATGGCGCGCATTTATAATTGGGAGGTTAAACGCAGGCAAGCTGCTAAACCAACATAAAAACTGTTCTTATTATGAATTCAATTGCACGCAACGATTGCCTAAGATACTAACTGGTAATTATCTTAAAAATCTACAATAAATTCTCATGTCCCATAATTCCCTTCATGAGACAATAATATTGTTTTAGGTTACTCACAATGTCAAGAAAAAACGCCTGTGAATGAAAAATGCTGTCGAAAAATGTCAACGGAATAAAGGACTCATGTTTAGGTTGTAAGCTAGATAACCAATATTTATGTATATTGCCACAAATACATCTGAAATCTAACTTAACATGTTGTTTCATATACCTACCAGAGTCAAACAAATTTTATTCATGAACTAATACAAATTTATAATTCATTTGTGAACCACCTCCTACGCGCGGTATCCTGTTTCGTACAATAACGTAAAAAATACGTCGATGGATTTTAATTAACGAATGAAACTTGAGCAAAAATTAGAATATAAATGCGTCTAAATTTTTTATTTAATATTCATGAATAAAATTTGTCCAACTCTGGTACTTACAATAAGATCTCTTATCATATCTATTATATTAAACTTATCTAAGTTTAGTTTCTGCACAAAAAATATACACAACCTGTATAAAAATAAAATACTACTTTTCCTTCATAATAAAAGTATTACATAAAACAAAATTTTATTCCAGCTTTACTTTCTATTTTATGATTTCCTGCCATCATACTTTTGATTACAATCTATGTCATATGTTTCTAGGTACATTTAATTTTGTTAAAGAACAAATATGAAAAATATAACATATTTTCGTCAAGATGATTAAGAAATAGACTTACGTTTACTGGAATTTGAAAAACAGAACTTAATTTATTTTAAACTTCTAAACTGTTGAAGTTGCTTGTTATATTTATTGTAAGGCACATAGTCGGTCTCACTTCCTGCGAAAGTCAATGTCCAGCAGGGACTAGTATTGAATTATAATCTAGAACTTTATTGCTTAATTATTCCGCATCTCCATCTCCTTCATACTTTAATAATTTTGCTTCTAACTCGATAATTTTAGATTTAGCATCCTTCAATTCATTTCTTAACGTATCCAATTCTACATCAACTTCTGTGATACCACCAAGATTTTGACGAATATATCTATGATGCGATTAAAGAAATATTTTCTGAATAAAAGACAGATTACCAATAGAATTTTCCTATTACAATATTAATTTAGTAATTAATAGTTTATGGGAAGGATACTCTAAAGCATCTTTTGGCTTTTCTGGTTCTTCGTACAAAGATATAAGTACCTTTGTTAAGGCATCCAGAACACCAGCTCTTTCAAGATATTTCCGAAATTCTTCCCTTTTCGAATCAGGAGGCTAAAAATTTACAATAATAATAAAGCACTTATACCGAATGTCCGCGTGTGTAAATTATGTATTTGGAAATTTATGCAAATTATATCGTATATGTTTATAACCCAGAAGCTGCAATAAAATAAATCATTAATACCATTTTGTAAGTAGCTGGCAAACAGATTTTTGAAGCTTACACGCATAGAATTCATTATCGTAAAACTTTCCGCGTATAATAGATATTACATACCTGCATATTCGACATTCTTTTGCTGGATTACAATTACACGATTATTTTACCACGATATTTTAAAAATGCTATTTTATTAAATAATTTAACGAAATTTTAGTAGCACGTGTTTCTTAAATCTGACGACAGTATAAATAAGTAAGCAGTAACGAGGCTCGATCAGAACAAAAGCCACATCACATATGCGATTTTCAAAACAACGCATATTTGAAACGATTCCTTACTGAGAGGGAAAATTATTTACCATTGTGTAACGCAATTGCAGTATGTAATGACAGAGGGAAGTGTTTTCTTCCTTTCACCTTGTTTCGCCGGGCACCCTTACTTGATAGTAAACTTTGAACGTTACGATAGTTTATTTCGATTAACAACAGAGCACTCAAAAGAGAATCCTGCCTTTGTGGAACGCCGGTAGCATTCTGCAATGTTACGTATTGTAATGAAAATTATATGATTTTAAATATGGTACTCTGTAACATAAAGTAGAGAATAATGTAAGACATTAAAATAAACTTCAAATTAGTGCAAAATTCGTTCTGAAAGGTATTAAATTTGTTGACGCAAAAAAAACTAAATGATAACCACTGGATCTTGTATACGAACGTACGAAATTGAGTGATAATCACTGGGTTTACACGTGGATTTGTCAGTTGCGTTTGTTTTTAACCGACGAAAATTGGAAATTTATAAGTATGCGTCTATCCACACGCGAATCTATTCATTTCTTGTTTTAGCAACGATACAGAACAGCATTCTTGTAAATATAAGTATATTCAATTGCGACGTAATTTTCGGATACGATACAGTTTTGTGGTTCCTCTCTTCAATTTACTTTATATTCATTAAAAACTTAGCTGAAATAGACTATAACGTAGGATATTACAAATGGTTTACAGTACGTCATCGTGACATTGAGAATCCAACATGGCGGGCCTTTGTTGATAAAGTTTTTTCCAGTAGCTGTCAACAGAAAAGCGTTGATAAAAATAAGTTTCAAACAATCCTTAACCAATCACTATAATGTTTTTGATGAAAAACGAAGTTTTCTCGAGAGTGATATTGACTGGATCTATAGGTATTTGCTCGTACATTGGTGATCAACGTTTATACTATGGAAAAGCCGCTTGGTCGCGCGCAATTTTTGACAATGTTACTCACGCAATTGTTGGTGGACTTACTTGGACACTTATCTTACATTTATCGAGAAAGTCTCTCATTCAAAATTTTTCAAGTATCTTCTGGTGTTTTTTTTTATCGTCTTTTATCGACGTAGATCACTTTATTGCAGCATGTAGTTGGAAATTAAGCGTAAGTGATATTACAACCTTTCTTTGTTTCGACAATGAATATATCTTAATCGTAAGAAAAATTTGCTTTAATATACACGAGTCATTTAAGATTTTTATTTTTCACAAATTGTATTACTTGATTATGATACTGTATCATAGAACTTCTACCATACAAGTGTCTATAAAATTGTTGGAATACAACAATTTAATACCGAATTCTTTTTATAGGATGCAACACATTTACAAAAAAGACCATTTATGCATTGTACCACTCTGCCTATAGCGTTGTGGCTTATGCTTAATTTTTACTCCAGCGTATTTAATCATCCGAAGCTTAGTTATTATTCGTGGATGATGTTAGCAAGTTTCTTGAGCCATCATATACGAGATGGTACAAGAAGGGGTTTGTGGTTTTGTCCTATAGGTTCTACGCAGCCTATTCCTTATTATTTATATTTAAGTATGAGTATGATGCTTCCTCATGTGCTACAATGGCTTATGACATCATCTATGCAAGAATTTAAGAGTTACGATAATGTGACATTGATCAATATTGTGCACTCTGTGTAAAAATATTTACTAAATGTAAGTGTACATATGTATATATCGACAAATTTTATAATGTAATTTTTGCATTTTACTAGTACAGATTAGGATATAAGTTATAAATTTGATATAATCTTTACACGTTTTTAATTAATTTTATATATTGTTATTGGTTTCACTGCAGAATTTAAGAAAGATTTATTATGTAAATATATATTATATTTTTATAATTCCGCAAATTGTAATAAAACTTACAGATACAATAATATTTTTATATATCAATTGCATCTTTATATTTATTTGTATTTATATCGGAAATTATTTTTTATACCATTGATGTTCCTTAAACTACAGTCGAACTTGATGTTGAATTTTAATTACCAAGAAGCAATAACAATTTTAATTTATCGTACAAACTTTAGGAAATTAAGAATTATCAAAATGAAAACTGTAAAAAGAACGTTAATCTCAAAATTCATAAGTAGAAAAACTAATTGAAATCATGTTTTCTATTTTTAATTACGTAAAAATAAATTGTATTTTATATTAAGTGTACAAGCACGTTGATACAAATATGCGGATCGTTACAGAGAATTATATAAAATAAGTAGATATAATTTATCGCTGACACAACGAGAAAATTTTTGTCGGTGCCTTGGTTTTCGTTGTAACGAAGTTCGACTGAACTTAGTTCCGTCCGTTCTTACAAAATAAAATAATTCATACGCAAATTCTACGAAGTACAAAGGCGATAAAAATAACTTCTTCCAGTCACTGTTGAATTGCTCTAATTAGTATCTTCAAACATGGAAAACTTGCGTAACTGAAAAGGGTTTGTTCCGACCACCGATGTTTACACAGTTCTTTCCAGAGACAGGTGTACTCAGTAGACGAACGTCACTCGCGTCTGCCACAATCTTTGGTGTCTGCGCGGCTACGCGGCAAGTCTGTGTTTGATTCTGATACAAGAATTTAACAATACCCACGTAAACGCATACCCGTTCCGCGTGTAGACCTCATCGGTGAGCGCGGAGGACGCGGATACCCTTGCAAAAAGCCAAGCACCGCGCACGCACGTGTGTACATACACACCTGACACAGCCTGGAGGAGTTTATCAGCATTCAGTATTGCTTTGCTGGCACTGTTACACACTTAACTTCACTCTCGTCTCAGCCGTACTTAGTGTTCATTTACCCAACCGCCTATTCCGTTGAAAAAAAAACGAATCGTAATCGCTGTGCAAGTCTTTGACTTCGGAGGAGGATCGTTCATGCGATCGAAAGTTTCAAGCGTGTTATTGTCCTCACGAATCTCGTGTTTTCGACGCATTGTTCAATTTTTTCACTTGAAACTTACGTTCTTCATACAACACTCGGTTTCGATGATCAATTACGTTTAACCAGAGTCAGTGTCACGCGCAAGAATCCATCGGTGATACCAAAGTTGCACCCGCACTGTGATGTACCCACAGTACGATTTTTCGTGACGTATTTGTGGAAAAACCATCGGAAAACGACTTCGTTGAATACGAGTTTTACAATGCCACCAGATCTTCGCAGATATCGAGTTCGTAACGATAACGCGCTGATACCGATATCGTGATTGTATACTCCAGTTCAGTATTGTCTTCAGTGGGATCCCGTGTCATTCTAACACTGCTATATATTTACGATGGTGAGTACACGCTCGAGTTTACAGCTTTTTCTATAGCTTGTACCTAAACTGATAAACCACGGTCCCTGACATTGCGCGATATAGTTTCCCTCAGGAGGGAAACAACATGATAATAGCCTGAAAGTAGATATTCGGGAGTACTTTTCAACGTCAATGCATATCGAGTAATGTAAAAAGTAAATTTCCAGCCCATTCGACCAATCCATTTCCGGTATATCCAGCGTCAAAATATACACGTTGCGACAAAATTGTTGCTCTGGCGTTGACAGTGATTAAACCGTACGGTTTATTGGAAGCGAAAATGTACGAAAATATTCACAAACTAGAAGCTCACGTCTTTTACAGCGAGCAGGAAAAAAATGAATATCTCCAAAAAATAAATGGTGGATCGCTGGAAAAAGATGTTCAAATTTCACGAAAAAATTCAAATCTTTTTTGCGTTTAGGAAATTTCTACGCGTTGCAATAGACGTAAGCTTCAAGTTTGTAAATGTTATTCTGTTTTTCACTTCGGTTTAATCATTGTCAACGTCGTAACGATTTTTCCGCCACGTGTGTTTTGACGTTGGACGTAACAAAAATGGACCGATCGATTCGACTGAAAATTTATTTTTTTAAATAAAGGAAAAACAATAATATTAAGAAAAATGTACCCCGAAAATACGTCTACTTTTCGGGTGATCAGCGTGTTGTTTCACTTTAACACTCGCACGGCTTAAGACAGGTACGTGAACAACCTTTCACGTCACAGGGCCTTTTTAGACCCGTATTTATTGCAATATTTAAGCGTTTAAATTTCTAATGTAAAATTATATAAGATATTTGTTTCATTCGTTTGTTAGAAGACGCGATGAAATATAATTAAAAAGAATAAATGAAAAATAATTGATACCTGGGTCCAAAACGATCCATCGACCGTCGTGCGAGTGTTAATGTATACACTGAGGTTTGGCTGAATGCGATGAACAGACGAACGGTTGAGCTATGATTTAACGGTTACTCATCCCCGCTTAATTGTCCTGTACCTACGTACATACGTGTGCATCGTTCTGGCAAAAGAGCGCTGCCTCCGTTTCGCGCGACTTCTTCTTTGCGAGCAATTAATCCATTAACGGTCAAGCTATGGCCGAATATCATTTTTGAACCTTGTCTTGCAAATTTTTGATATTTGAACACTTTTAAATTTCACAAGCACATTATTTAAAAAAAGAATATTTTCAGTAGACTCGAGCCCTTCGAAAATAAACACCGTTGATCGTTTTAATGATTAATTACTGTATACAGTATCTTTGCAACGATGATATCTAATGCATTTAGTCATCATATGTTATTTTTTATCTGTGATTCATTTCTGTTATACTTCCAAGAATGAAAGAATTTTATTTTATTTCTGAAATACTAGAGTAAGGTATTTCTCATTCTTTTTTGTGAACGATTCATTTGCAATTTTCATGAATTTATACCTTGAGTTTTAATAAGTTGTTCGTGTTCTCAATACTCAGGTGACAATGGTTTAATTTAATCAAATAATTTTTCAAACATTTCAATTCTACTTTTACTTATTTTCATGATTGAGTATTGTAGGGTTAATATCTTAAATTACATTTTCCAATATGTCCAGTACATAGTACTAATAAATTCTATAGTACTAAAATTCAAGCTATGTTATAGTTGGGTTAAAAATTGAATTCAAGAAAGATCAGATAGATTAGATTGCGTTGAATCGTCTTTATTCCAATTTTAATATGAAATAGTACGGGTCAGAATTGACCCAGCTTTGCAGGTGCACGATTAATCGAATTAAGAGTTCACTGTAACATGACGCACTGCGTCTGTGTAAGTGCTTTCACAAGAATCGAGGCTAATCATAGACCCGTAATAAAGCTTGTTTTGTAACGCTAATTACGACCACTCGAGCGGTTGCCTATTAGAGATGCAACTATGCACCTTCAAGGTTGGACTGGCGCAAGAAGAATCGCAAGAAGTATGCGATGAAAGCGATTCGCAGAGACGCGTAAACAATTCCATGCAATTTGCGTAGGAATAGACCAGCGACGTTACGTGTAACACGAGTAGTCGTCCTTTCGCTTTCAAACATAGGATAAACATATCAATATTCGTCGCGTGACCAACTAAATAAATACTTGGCCATTGGTGTGTAATGTTTTTTTTGAACCAGCGAACGTGATTCTGGGATTTAATATTTAATAAAAAGTGCGGAAAGTGACGATCCCAGGGTCACTGTTGATAACTGGTACGTTTTATTTATGGTAGTATAGGCCCCGTTGTTTGTGAAATCGTTTATTTTTATCAGTTTATTTGTTCGACTCTTCGAATGTTGACATCCGCGTTAAATACAAGTTACGAAATATGATGGTTTGAGGAAGCGTAATGCAGCAGCGCGTGGCGAAGATTCTTCTTTCACATTCTTGCAGTCGTATCGGCGTTTATCTTTCCAGACACCTCCGTTCCGTTATTCTTCGTGAATTCTTTGGGCTGGTTAGACGTGCCCCAATTAACCACAATCCACTGTTATAATAATATTTCACGCTTGTCTTGTATAAACAATAAATATTTCAGTTGCATTTTACGAGCGAATTTAATCTTTCGAGTCTTTTCTGGAAATAAGTAAGTCAAGATCTAACATTTAACATTTAATTATTACGTTGATGTTTCTTTTTACATATATATTTTAATTATTAAAAGTATTGAAAAGTCTATTTATGGTTTTACTATCTTAAAGTACACTAATTGATTCCTATAAATTCCTATCTGATAAATCAATTTAGCAACAGGAAGACATCATACAAGAAAATGGGCATATAAAGTGTACACATTTTATTTCAAATACAATTTATTTGAGGCAAAATAAGCAGAGGCTTATGATATAATCTGATAATATTGATTTAAGCTTTTATATCAATGCTTGATGTATCTGCAAAACTGTGCCACATATTTATAGAATAAAACGAAATGAAATAATTTATTATACATTTCACGTTATACTTTATAAACGTTCTCGAGTAAAAATTTCAAATCGTGCAGAAGAAGGTTCAAAAATATACTTTTACATATTTCGCCCTCCTCCCTCACCCAGTAAAGCTTCTTGGATCAACTTCTGGGATCCAGCAAACTTTGCTCTTAGACGCAACTACGATTATTAAAATATTTATTGTAAAATCCATCGTATCGTAAAAGTAGCAATCCTCTCTCGAGCAAATAACCGTACAAACGAACACGTCATTGATAACGATATTTGCAGCTTTAGTAAAAATATCAATCGTCGCGAAGATCGCGAAATTGATTATCGTTGTCAGAGGTTTAAAGACACTTGTTCAACTTTCCAGGAAACCAAAGATTTGGAGCTGTATTTCGTTATAGCGTGTGGGATCGCCGCCGGTGCATTTTTAATACTTTTCATTTTGGTGTGCATGCTATTTGTCAAACTGAATCGATTGAACGCGGACGGGTAAGTAATCTCTTTTGAAAACGCAAAACGTCCGTTTCTTTTCTTTGGCGCACGCAATATTCCACCTCAATTCCTCCGAAACCCCTTTGAATTTTTTTTAACAAAGATCCCATTGAGCTTTGCTTCGAGAAAAAAAAGAAAGATCTATGTGTATAACCACGCTAAAAGCTTTGCTTGTTTTTTTAAATGAATGGTTGCGAAGCAGTTAATAACATTTGACGAGTTTTCTTGTTAAAATTATGTGTATCAGCTGCATAGCCGACGTTTCGTTTTGTTGGGACGAGCCACGTTTCCGACGATGTAGGCCAAATATCGGAATATGTCACGTAAGATTTACACTCTAAAGAACAAATACGATTGCCAAATTCACGGGTCCTCGGCGACATGCGAAGTAGAAAGCGTTTATATTAATGCCTGAGTCACGGCGGCCATCATTGATACCGTATCTTTACAATATTGTGAAGCGATTATATTTAGCTTATCTTGTTAAAAGAATGGGAGATGGGTACAGGAGTTAAATGAGGCTTGCACGCGACCAGATTCTTTCCTTTTTTTATAATTATTTTTTTAAGGAAGCTTTACATTAACTCTTTGCAGTTTGGTTAAATTCGTATAGAAAATACGTTTGTCGTTGATGATAATTGATACAAATATTTTTTTAAATTGTAATAATCGTCAGTGTCTTCCACTCTGTCAAATGTTTATAAGCTATGGGATTAAATGTACCTGATCAAACAAAATTCGTTTAACCGTCAATTAATCCCAATCAAATCGATTCTTTCTTTTTAAAAAGAATCATCTGGTTAGCTTCTAATTTTCAAAGATAAAAATTTAAGGTCCTACAACATCGAGACAGTAATTTTAACGTACAGCTGCAAAGAGTGAAATTAAATTTCGTGGAAACGATCTTAAACGATTTTTCGAAATCTTTCAAAATTGCTTTTATACCATTCGCTTTACGTTTTATGAGACTTATTGTATTATTCAGGTCCAATCAACTAAATAGACAATCTAGCATGATGGCAGACTTTTGTTACACGAATCCTACGATTGTGCCTGGAGAACTGCTGTCTCGTCGTGGTTTCTCGATGTACAGCGGGTCCGAAAATTTCAACGACAATTACGAAACGAAGAGCAAAGGGCACTATGGGACTTATCAAGAGGCACGGTCAAAATTTTGACGAAGGATCGTAAACTTTTGAGTATTTTCATCGAGCGTGCAATTCATGCAATATCGACAAACTATCGAGTAAGGAGAATTGGAAGATTGATTTTTTTTTTAAACATGAAACTTGTACTTTACGTCGATTCGTCAAACCTAAGATTTACGTAAATTTAATCTTCATTTGCCATACAATTTATTTATGTACACGTATATAGTTATTTATATATAATTTCGTTATCATTTATACCATAATGCGATAAAATACAGATACATGTAAATCATTAAGATATTCATTTTGATTAGTATGGTAGGAGAGATGTTGAACGAGTAGTAGTTAACAACAAAATTACACCATAATTATGTGTATTATCACAGACGAGGTACAGGATAGACCTAAACATCTTATGGGACTTTGTGTCTTATATTCTTTGCAATTTAAAGTGTTCAGTATAGGAATTATATTCAACCCAACTATCGAAGTTGGTAAAGTCAACGAAACCAAAAATGTCTGTTATGTTGTAAATCCAAAGGGAGAAAACATAAGCTTATGTTTAGTTTGAATGTACATATACATAAGATGGAATATACATAGATTATAATCCGAATCATGTACCAATGTAAAAAGTATAGAATAATAATTGAATAAATATGTACAATGCATAAAAACAAATAGTAACAAAATAAAATACCACGTCGATTGAATAAATGAATAAATAAAAGTATAAAAATGCATAATATCATAGGGAAACTATCATCGTAAGTGTGTCCTTTAGCCTCTTCACGCCCTTGGCCACATATGTGGACGTTTAGTTCTTTATAATTATAGTTACTGTCAATAATAAATACACCAAAATATTCACTACAGATTATAAAAAAATTAAATTTTCTGTTAATGTGAAATTGATCTAAGATCATTGCACGAAAGTATGTGTTTTGAACAGTTGAATGAAAATCACTTATGTTGTCTTTCAAAATTAATATCATATCTTAATTAATGGCTTACGATAACAAGGAATAATGAATTTTATTGAGGAAACAACTATATGGATACGTAACATTTATAAGAGTTTCGTATTTTATAGTATACAATTATAAATGCTCTGCCACATCTTATTTGTAATTTCATATTTAAATTTAGTTCGAATTCCAACCACTAGAAATGTCGGAGTCTTATTCTTTGTTGAATCAGCTACGTTTGGTATGTTCGTGAATTTACTGACGTTACCGACGTCGATGATCGGTTTGAATATAATTTTTAGAGTCATTGTTCTTAAACACAGAGCGCGCTGTGAAGCAGCTGACTTTTTACGTGGTCAGTATCTCGGTTTGTTAGAACACAACCTCTTCTTGAATCGGTGGTGTAAATATCTAATTGATGATTAAACTATTGTTTATGAAAGGTATATTTATTTAAAATCGTGTAATCTAGATACGGTGAGTGAAATGCAACTTTGTGAATCATAATTTCGTGTAGTTATCGAAGTGAATTAACAAATTCAAGAATCTTGTCATCTACTATTATAAATCGACAAAAGTGTGAGTTTAATTCGTACATTATATCGTCATCCATCAATATGGTTCTAAAGTTAAAGTATTTACGCTCTTCTAGTACGTTCACGTTCTTTTTTTCTGTATTCGCGGTTTCTACCTGAGGCTTCGCGAGACATCGGAGCTTCCCCCACCCCACCACCTAATTCGCGAGCGTTACTGGATACAGCGACACAGCGAACGGCTATCATTCGTTCTCTGAAAATTAACGTGGGAAGACGTGTCGAGACGTGTCTGCATTTCGCGACTAACGAGGTGCATATTTCTAACCTGTGGCTATTTCATCATTATTACTACTCGCGTTTACATTCTATCGATGCTTTCGCATAATATCAATACATGTTCGATTGTAAATTCAATCGACATCGTAACAAATATTGAATCGGTTTCGTACTTTTTCTCTGAGATTCGACCGGTGTTAATTATTAACGCGTCCCTCTGAATTTAATTACGATCTCTTGCAATACAGTTTGGAGTTAGTCATTATTTGATTATAATAATCGTCCATGTACTTCAATGCACTTTTATTTCGTTTCTCTTACAGTTTCTGATTGGAATTCAAATGGAAGCTACCGGCACACAAGGGACGCCATTACACTTGGAAATATTCAAATGGCGCCAACTTCAAATAGTCTAATAAGGATGGGTTAAGTTAATAACTTAGATATTATTGTAACAAATAACATTTATACATTTTTTAATATATTTTATCGAGTTATTATTTATCGGAATTATGATATATCAGTGTTGAGATGAAATAATAAATAATTCTTTAATTTGCTTTAGAATCGATTTCGATCCAATGGCAAATTAAATGGAAATTAATTGGCGTATTTTGATAACGATTACATATTTTTCGGTGTTAAATATTTATTGAATTTTTACAAAATCACTATGAATTGTTGCAATTGCATTTGTGAACAGTTTTCTATGCAAGTTGAATAGAAGATAGAAACTGCGTAACTATTATATGCTATTCAGATGTAACTAAATAACAAACTTTAATTTTTGCACGTTTCAGAACGTTTATAAAAATCGAAATATATATTAAAATTTAATTCAGTCGATCACGCTTACAACTCTAGTAATAAAAGGCTGATATATGTATAATATTTTTAAATCGAGCAATTATTTTATGATTGTCTTCATCAATAATATTTTATCATTCAAATTTATGTGTTGAGAAAATTTAACTTTTATCTTTCTGATGTAGAAGAAACACAGCAGTATTTCCATTGATAGTTATTAAGTGAAGAAAGAAAGAAAATGTAGGAAAGCACAGGTGTGCTTACTGTGTTATTCTTGTGTCCTCTCCCTGTTTTCTTTCCAGGAAATTTGTTGGCCGCGCGCAATGCGGCCGGTAGGTTCAGTGATTGTGCGTAGCAACAAGTTTGTTTCTCGGGGCAAAGTGACCCCGAGTACGTTGTCGTTCACGATGTTAGGCAAACGCGAGAATAGAAGCAGTGTTTCTTACGCGGTATTAAATTATTTCCAGAGCATCATGGCTCTTTCTGTTTTCTGAATCGCGATAATAGAATCATTTGTTCGCCGATTTCAATCTTCGGCCGCGGTAATCTAATTTAATACTTTCCAATCAAATTAATTATTTTTTCAATTTGAAATTTAAACTCCCCGTTACCGGAATTAGAGTCAGTGCATCACCGAAGAGGACTATTGGGCGGTGCTCTACGAGCAAACAATGTAAGTATAAATTTATACTTTGAAATTTTTAATTAAAAATCTCTACAGTTTTAACAATAGATTCTAATTGTTTTCTTACAGTTTTCTTACAGTTTCTGAACATGATCCTGGGAACCAGCAGCAGTACCCGGGGGGTATCGGGCGGTGGACCACGAACGAACAACGTAAGTATAAATTTATACTTTGAAATTTGTTAATTAAAAATCTCTATAATTTTAACAATAGATTATAATTGCTTTCTTATTCTTTATAGCAGGACCATGCAGGGGGCTTTGATGACTTCCACTGGGCAGCAGCAGCATTATTATGCAGTCATCCCAGAGGCACAAGTTCATCATTCGTGAGTCGCATGCTATTTGTGTTCCTCTGGTCCCCAAACATGTTGTAGGATGAAAGATCCGAATCAACACGGGTGACCAGTTGTATACTTAGTATTTTTGACGAGTTAAGTGACCGTGGGTATGAAAAATACCCATAAGTTATATTTTTCTAGTGCAGGCTAGGGTCTTCTTGCACTCGCGTTTTTTAATGTTATCAATAAATATGTTTATTAACTTTATATGAATTATATAATCGAGTAGAATATGAATATGAATGTGAAAACATTATATTAATCATACGACTCAGTAAAATATCTTACATTATTAATATAATTATTAAATATTCGTTTTATTAATTAATACATCATATGATGTATTTTACGTGCAAGAAGGCGTTTCGCGACTGGTCGATTTTCAACTCAAAGGAACATGCATATTGATTATATTTTTAAAAAAATTTACTTTGACGACAGAATCGACCAAGGTTAATTCAATATTTTGAATAATAATTTAACAAATTTATTTCAATTTGCAAAATAAATTATTTTATCATGAAATCTTTATTAAAGTCTTACATTTTACACAATTAAATTTCAGTCACAAATTTTTCTTGAATAATAATATCTTTCGATATTAATGTACTCTGTTGTTGATATATTACATATAACAAGTCGAGTCATTTTAACTGAGAATAGATACCGTTTAGTTAATTATTAATAACCAGTTGTTCTAGTCAGGATTTTCAGGATACTTTTCCGTGTTCGTTGCCTAAGTTCATGCACATGCCCAAGTGTTATTTGCACGAGCGAAGGCAACGGGGCACGATGACTTAGTTTGTAAGATTTATAATAATAATTTATCCGTGCGACTGACAATGTTAGTGTATCGTGCACGATGTACTGTCCACATATGTGTGTTTGTGGTTAGGTTGTGGAAGTGCATCGTATCAAAAGTTCATTACAATTTCAGATACAGAATTTTTTAACATTAGATTCATAACAATCGTAATAATAATATTAAACTTATAGTTATTATTTACTTGGCAATTGTTCGTATTGCATACACGTCAATGATATTGTAAAATGCATAATGAATTAGCTTTTCAATCTTATATAATCATATATAGAGTATATTTTAATAAAGACTATATTAGATATATTAAAATGTTTTACATAAATAATAAAAGTACGCAATGGGCACTAGCTTTGTCAATCCACTGCAAAAACTGGTACGTACACAATTAGAGTATGAATGAGGTTGTGTCCGGGTGTCGGAGGAACCCCGGGGAATCCTCTCTAGTTTAGGTCGCGCCCGGACATT